GGGTAAATGAGAGATTAGGCCTTGACCAGATACAATGTAAGAGAATGTTCCTGACATAGCTCTGAAGTACATGCCAGGTAATCTATGATATACTAAGATGTCTAAGTGCCTAGAGAAGAGAAAAATGGCAGCAAAATATATATTCTAACTGGAGACTCAGGAAAAAGGCCTATTTCCTTTGTTCTCTATACATCTTTTTCTTCAGTTAAGAGCAACAGGGGTGCCTGGGTGGCTCAGTTGGCTAAGCAACTTGGTTCAGGTCTTAGGGTGGCTCTTTAACTTGGCTCAGGTCATGATCTCATGACCCTGAGATAGAGCCCCGGCATTGTACATCATGCTGGCTGTAGGGCCTGCTTAAGATTCTCTCTCTGCGCCTCCCCCACTCACACTCATTTGTGCACTCTCTCTCTCAGGAAAAGATAAAGAAAAAAAAAAAAGAATAGGAGAAGGATGAGACAGGGATGTAGAAATTCAAATAACTGCTAACTTTTTTTTTTAAAGCACTTGCTATGTGGCAATGTTCTAGAAGTATTTTACAGATATCATCTAATTACTCCATGTAATAGGTATTATTTCACAGTTAATTATACGGATGAGAAAACCGTGGCACAAAGAGGTTAAGCAACGTGCCCAAGCTTACAGAGTGACAGAGCCAGAATTTGAACGCGGGCAGACTCGAGTGATATAAGAACAACGAAAAACACATATCTGCAAACCACTGTTGACATAAAACTGAACATGTTTTATCTATTCCCTCAGATGGTGAATTATTTTTAGTACCATGTATACTTTTGTCTGTTAAAAGCTTAGCAATTCATGTGATGTTTCTCAGTCTGATCTCCATTCCTTACCCTGTCAACATGATCTGGTAACAGCTGCAAGAACAACAAAAACAAAATTCCTCTTGACAATTTACTGATTGGATTGAAATTAATCTGATTTTTTCATAATTATAAATTGATTTTGCCATAACATGCAGGATTTAGTTGAAGCATTCTAATTAAGTATTTTGAGCCTTCACAGCCTGATTTTCACTGGAAGGCAATCTTTTCCCAGCCTGGCATTTCAGTGAAGTTTTCCCCAAGTCGAATTCAATTGAATTCACAAACTAAACCAAGATCACTGCCAGCCTATTACCAAGCTAGAGAGAAATGCAATATAGCCAGTTGGCTGAAACAGTGAGTCTTCTAAACTACTATTAAACTCTTTCTAAACCGGCTTGCTTGCGTGAGTGAGAGAGATGACTCCACTTAAACAAACAAACAAACAAACAAAACTTTACACTTCCAAGCTCACTGGGATATTTGAGAGCACTATACTTATCTTTCTGGGTGATGTTTTTCTTTCTAGTAAGTGTGGTGCCTACAGATTTCCTGAACCTTTATCTGTCACAGATAAAAACATTTAAGACCCTAAGTCCAAGAACTAAGCTCTTCAGCATACCTTCAGAAGTTGCTTTTTAGTTCAGTAATGATCTATCAATTGCCACAGTGTGGGGATAATGCACTTATTATACATAATATATAATAACGCTGCTCTATTATCAACCTACATATTTGTTGTGTCTACAAAGATGTTGTGAAAAACTCAGAAAATACCTTGCTAATAACAACTTATATTCATGCCATTCATTAATCATTTAGTGGTTTAGTCAAAAAAGAAAAAATAAAGTGTTTGGGTTTTTTATTTTATTCTTTGGTTTTGTTTTTTAAGTAAATCAGGCCTGACTATGCTCACCACCTGGTCTAAGAAATTCCAAGTCATCTTTTTTTTTTTTTTTTTTTTTTAAATTTTTTTTTTTTTCAACGTTTATTTTTATTTTTGGGACAGAGAGAGACAGAGCATGAACGGGGGAGGGGCAGAGAGAGAGGGAGACACAGAATCGGAAACAGGCTCCAGGCTCTGAGCCATCAGCCCAGAGCCCGACGCGGGGCTCGAACTCACGGACCGGGAGATCGTGACCTGGCTGAAGTCGGACGCTTAACCGACTGCGCCACCCAGGCGCCCCCCAAGTCATCTTTTTAATACACTGATCGTGAAGAATTGCTCAGTGGGCTATCAGAAAAGTAGGCAATGAGTCTAGACTCTCAATTACCTAATTTAAGATCTGGAGCCTAAACCAAATTAATACAAATGGGTTGATATTGTCTCAACACTATCTGCTTCAGACAGATCATTATTATTCCTAAAGCGATGCTTCTATCATGTCACTTTCTGTCAATAATTAACCAGGAAAAAACTGCATATTTTCAATCTTCTGGAACCGTCTAGTACCTGAAGTTTTCAGGATAACTAATAATAGTTGAAAACACGTTTGTGGTTTTTCAAAATTTTTGAAACATTCAATTGGGTCTGATTATTTGAACATTGTTTACAATGGATGCTTGTTTTATCTATTTTTATACAATGATTCAATATCCTCCTTTTAAAAAGTGGTTTTATTATAAAAGAAGTATGGACCCATTCTTCAAAAATAAAAAAAAAATAAAAATAAACTCACCAAATACCCTAAAAAGTAAGTCCTCTCTTCTACTTCACCTCTTCCAAAGCAATCATTTAAAAATACGTACAGTCAAGAAATAGCATGTAATCTATATAAGAATATTATTATGGCTGTGGTATATGTGGAGAATTATTAAGTTTTTTTTCCACCCTTTGCACAAGTCTGAGATTTCTGGATTAGAAAGTATAATAAAACATAATTCCCCAGGTTTAATCCTTTAACTTCTACTTGAATGAGAATTTTTGAATCATAGAACTATTTTTGACTTGGGTTGTCTTCCAAAGGAAGGGAAAATTAAATCACTTTATTAACCAAAGTTTCATTATTGGTTAATACGTGAATAAGTAGAAAATAGTCTGTAGGTATTTATATACATTGGAAACAACAGACCATAACAGGGCTTAATAGAGTAACAGGGTATGTAAATGCATAAATAAACCACACTGGAATTTATCACACAAGAAAAATAACTGCTCACCAAAAGAGATCAGTGAACTTGAGATTTACTTGCTGAAAACAAAAAATGAAGTGAAGCCACAATATCAGAAAGATATTTCTCCTAATCCCTCAGACGACTGCTAACAGCAGAGCAAGAAGTAAGGTTAGTTCCAGGAAAAGTGCTAAAATTAATTCTTTGCCAACATGTTATTAGTTTGGATTTAAACCAATTCAATTAAAATTTTAGTAATTTAAACAGGACTTGAGTAGTAACCTTTCTCCCCTCATTTAAAAATTCTTTAAACTGACAGCATTATCAAGCAGTAGATGAAACTGCAATAATCACCACCAGCAATCAAAGAATTCGGTAATGTTTGTTATTAAATGTGAACAAAACTAAGTTCATCTTTCCCTTTATATTTTTTATTTGTTTATTCTGTCAACAGATATTTACTGGGAACCTACTATGTGCCAGGTACTGTTCAAGGCATTGAAAATACATTCGTAAACAAGATGGACAAAATCACTGTCCTTGTGGAATATGTACATTATACTGAGAAAGACTGACAAAAATATATATAAAATAATTTCAGCTATAAGAGATACCAAAATGGGATAAGAGGTTATAGATTTACAGGTTAGAGGATATTCAAATATAAGCCCTTGGGAAAACTTCAGACTCTGAGATTCCTATGAATTGACCATGGCAGTGACGAAAGTGTCCCTTACTAAATAGGAACCCACATTTTTGTCCTCAGCATAATTCCCATTTGTTTAACCATTCCTGTCCTCCAAATTACCTGTTGCAGATAACTTTTTTTCTTTTTCTACCTAAGTTTTCATTTTACATGTACAACCACTGTCTTGGTATATTTTTTCATTAAAAACGTTCCTAAGATCATAATTCTAGTGATACATATAGAAAGTCTGTGACCTTCTGAATTCAGTATCTCTATGAAATAGAAATGCCTGATAGTTTGGCAACTTTGAATAATTGATGACATTTATTTACAGAAAATCATTATTAAATGGAAAATAGCTCTGACAAGATCTAGTGGTAAAGAAAAATGACAAAGAATAAAGAATTAATTAACATAAAGATTATTTGTTGATCCAGAGAAAACCTAGCAAAGGACTAATGCAGGTCTGGGTGTGTGCATGTGTATGTGTGCTTTGTGGGAAGGTGAAGGTAGCATGGGGAGGGAAACATACTTCAAATTCAAGGAAAGATTTTAACTTAAAATGAATACAGTTGGATTCCCATGAAGAACTGCAACAGGAATGTATTTATTGAACATGTGTTTCCTAGAGTCCAGAGCTTCAAAAGTCATATTACTGTGAGGAACAAACTGAGCAACTATATTGTATTTAAAACATTAACTTATGTAAGGTAGTGACTGTTTAAAAAGAATGTTATGATGGAATAATCTTTCATGGAAACATTTTATAAAACTAGGTGAAAGTTTAAAAAATATAGAATATGAAGGTATAGGAAATTACATGAAATGCTTTTAAAATGTTTCAAACCTCTGTATTGACATAGTAGCTTGAACTTTTAGTGACCAAATAAGGTAGAAGGAATATAACAAAAAACAGTGTGTGGAGTAGCACGCTGGCTAAAGGCCAAGTTTTGAATCCCAATAGCTTAGCTACTTCACATCCCAGTCCCACTGCTTTTTGCTGTATAATCTTGGGCAGCTTACTTAAATTGGTCCCTCAGTTTCCTCAACTCTAAAATGAGAATAGTACCTACTCTAAAGGTTGTTTTATTTTAAGTTTATTCAATTATTTTGAGAGACAGAGAGAGCGAGTGGGTGAGGGGCATAGAGAGAGGGAAAGAGAGAATCCCAAGTGGGCTCCACACGTGGGGCTTGAACTCACAGACTGTGAGATCATGACCTGAACTGAAACCAAGAGTCAGATGCTTAACCAACTGAGCTACCCAGCTGCCTCGCTTAAGGTTGTTTTTAGATGACTGTCTAGAAAAATATCTGATATTAAGAATCAAATTAAAGTTAGCTGTGAACTCAACCACCATGTTCCCCCTGAAGTTACTTACTTTTAGGAAAACCTGCAGATCTTGAGTCTGAGTGTGCTGCAGAATGTCTTGTTGTAAGTGTTTGAATATAGCTATACAGATATACACTTGGTAATCAGGACCAAGGAAAACACAAGTAGCAATATAATGGCAGATTTCTATCCAATCTAAATAATTCCAAAAACACTGAGTTATCCACTGTAGGCATATCTAGAAAAAAAGAAGTCAGTTCATTAGAAAGCTTATAAAACCATACTTTTTTTAAAAAAAGCAATAACCACTAATTCATGCAAAAGCAATGAAGAGCTTGGCATCCGATCAAAATAGAAAGATATCCTGCACACAGGGATGCTTCATCTATTTGCTTAACGTGTGAGAAAACGTTCATGGCCTAGGGACCCAGGACTTAGGAGGCCACTGATGGTGTTCACACTGCTCACATACCTATTGCTAAATGCCTTCTTTATTCAATATAGTCCTCTTAACCACAACATCAGTCTGCTCTCTACAGATAACAAATGCTAAGAGACCATTTTAATTCAGAGATGGGAGTTTTTTTCTACCCTACCTAATAATCACAGATGTATAATTATGCAGACGACAGATTGCTAAATGTTATATTAATGCGAATGGACTCTTGCTGAATCAGAAAATAATTTAAATCAAACAGGATTATATAACATAACTGGGAGCTAATGTGGAAAATAACTTAGAAGTGAGACTTTTACAAAAATCATTTATCTTACTTCTTGAATAACATTCAGATAATTTGGATTACAAAATGTATACATGCCCATTGTGGAAGAAAATAGAAAATACCCCTTTAAAATAGAAAAGTTTAAAAAAAAAACACAATAACAATGGTTGGAATTGTGTCTTTCCCCTAAAAGCATGTCCAAATCCTTGGATTTGGAAACAGATTTTTACAGAGGTAACTGAGATAAAATGAGGTCACTAGGGTGAGCCCTATTCCAGTATGACTGGTATCAGTTAGAAAGGGAAAATTTGAACACAGAAATAGACATAGAGGGAAGATGAAAAGGCACACATGGGGAATGTCCTACGAAGACAAGAGGATTGGAGTGATGCATTTACAAGCCAAAAACCATCTGAGGTTACCAGAAATTAGGAGAGAGGCATCAAACAGTTCTTTCCCTAGGGCCTTCAGAGGGCACACAGTCTTGCTAACAATTTTTTTCTTTCAAGTTTATTTACCTTGAGAGAGAGAGAAAGAGAGAGGAACAGAGAGAATCCCAAACAAACCCCATGCTGTCAGCATAGAGCCTGACATGGGACTTGATCTTGGGAACCTTGAGATCATGACCTGAGCCAAAATCAGGAGAGTCAGACTAATTCCCCGACTGAGCCACCCAGGTACCCTGTTAACACTTTTATTCTGGACTGCTGGCCTCCAAAACTGTGAGTCAATAAATTTATGTTGTTTTAAGCCACCAGTTTATGCTATTTTAATACTATAGTCCTAGGAAACTAAGATACTTTCCAATATTTTAATTCTCATTTATGGTCTACAAATTACCATTGAGGGAAAATTTCCTTTATTGAACCTACTTTTCTTTTTGGAGGTGGGGAGCAGGGAATGGCAACAAATATAATGGCTTCTCTCAATTTATCATAGATGTAAAAAACAAAGATACACAAATTTTCCGTTGTTCTACTGTTTTGTCCTTTTAAAAATATATTCTTGAATAGTTTCTAAAACTTATTTTTAGATCTGATACAATTTCGAGGAGTGGTTGATTCTACCTTAAGTGCCTTTAACATGGTGTATTAGTCTGCTCAGGCTGCCATAATATAAAGTGTCACAGACCAGGTGACTTAAATAACAGAAATGTCTCTTCTCACAGTTCTGAAGTCTAGGATCAAAGGGTTGGCAGGGCTACATCTCTCTCCTTGGGTTGGAGATGGCGGTCTTCTATGTTTTCATATGGTCTTCCCTCTGGGTATCTGTGTCCAAATTTCCTCTTCAAAGGACAGTGGACAAATTGGATTGGGGCCTACCCTAATGTACCTAATTTTCATGTAATTACCCCTTTAAAAATCCTATCTCCAAATACGTCATTCTGAGGGTAGTGGTGGTAAAGATTTCAACTTATGAATTTCAGGGTTGGGTAATACCATACCAGATGGTATTATTGAATTTTTGTTTTCCATATGCCTTATTTCCACATGCCCATTTCCTTAGGTCAACCATTGACATCTTAATTTCAGATATTATGGGCATATCTTTTCATTTCATTTTCCACTCATATTTCCTATTATTGATAATACTGACTATAGATCCCCAAGCATTTTTTCTTTTTTTTTTTTTTTTTAATGTTTATTCATTTTTGAGAGAGGGAGAGAGAGAGAGGGAGAGAGACAGAGCAAGTGAGCGCACGAGCAGGGGAGGGGCAGAGAGAGGAGACACAGAATCCGAAGCAGGTTCCAGGCTCTGAGCTGTCAGCATAGAGCCCGACGTGGGGCTTGAACTCACAAACCATGAGACATGACCTGAGCTGAAGTCGGACACCCAACTAACTGAGCCACCCAGGTGCCCCTAGATCCCCAAGTATTTTTTCTGTTTTTTAATTGTAATTCCATTCTCAGGTATAAGATTTTGCTTTATAAATATTATGTGCTTCTTCTATTATGCTCCAAAATCTATTCACAGAGCCTATGAATAACTCAATATTGAATTTTGTGTATGAATATTCGATATTTATGAACTGGCAGAATATATTTAATTTCCTTTTGTCTCAACTTTAGTCTTATCACTGATAGGATTTTCCCCTCAGATCTTGACCTGGAGGGTAGCTTGGCATGCAGAGTTCATTACCAAACTTCCATTGCCCACATAGTATGGCTCTACTGAACTGGGGAGAAAATATCTCCTACTCTTACTTAACTAGACAGGTTGAAGCAGTCAGTGGTTCTTTGACTAGAAGTAATACTTTTAATTCCCTTAGTGTCCTGCTGCCAGGGTTCTGTCTCTGTTCTATGCTATAGCTATTAATGCCAAGAAACTTTTGGCCATGCTGTGTTAATAAAAATGAATCTCCAGATGAATTAAGGAGAAACAAAGAGTCAAAACTAGTACAAATGAACCCTGCAGCCAGGGGTATTTGTCCGTCCTTTCTCAGTAGCCTAAGTGTTCTACTGGATGGACGGTGTGAAACTGCTGATCCTCAACTCATTTTGATCTTAAAACCTCACAACTCTATATGGTTCAAATATATCTGAAGTTAAAATATATATAGGGAGATACTCTTCCTTATTAGTTAAAAGAAAGTCACCCCAGAATCTGCAATTAGTTATCATACATAGTTATTAATGCAGTTCAATTTTCTGGTATTTACATACATTTAACTATTGTTTTCCGTACATTGTCTACTTTTCTTCCATTAAACAGAGATAATGCCTATCTTTTTCTACACATGGGAAATTTAGAAGAGGGAAAAAGATTATAACTGAAAACACTTTGAAAGTATATAAACTGCTATTTAAATATGATTCTATAACAAAGGTACAGATGTTTATTATTCATTTAATATTTATCAAGTACCTAATATACAAATAAGCATTATAATTTTTAACCGAAAAAGAGACATTTACTCCCTGTTCTCATGGAGCTTACACTCAAAGGGGAGATGTACTCTTTTTCAATATCTGTCCCTCTTCATTTGGCAGAAATTATATTTGCTATTCTGTGTACAAGATGATTCAGAATTATTAAACTGTAATACAATGCTAAAATAGTATTCCTCTAGAAGTGTGAGCAATGAGTCACAGTATTCAGGCCTTAAGCTAATAACTTCTCTATCTTTATAGGATGAAAAGGTTTGCAAATCAGCTGATGAACTAGAATTCTAAAAGGATAAAGGAAAGAGTGTGTCCAAGCAGAATGATAAATTCCTAAGACATTTTTAGTGTGGAATTTTCCAAATATACATAAAATAAAAAAAGCAATACATGAACCAGAACCATCACAGCTTCAAAATTTTTAGTGACTGATAAGTCTCTTTTGTCCATCTCCCCCTACATGTAGGTTCCCCTTCTTTAAACTTTCTAAGAGAAAACACATAAGTTGCTACATATTATATCTGTGTTTGCTTTAAAACACACAGAAAATCTCAGTTACCAATGCCACCCATTTTTGTTTTTATCACACAAGACAAAAATAATCATAGAATACCAGCACTACCATGAGCAATATGATTACTTCAAACAGTATTACTACTGTTCTTTGCCTTTAGACAACATATCACTTGACACATACAGTCAAATTATTGTATTTAAAGTGATTCTCATGAGTTTATACCATCAAATGGGTTCTGGTGGGTTCATTTTATTCAGTTTGACTTTATATTCTCAGGGACAGAATATGTTTATTTTGTTGGTTATATACATTTATATCATATAAAATATTTAAGTGATTCTAAGGCAAAAATACAAAAGGTTTATTCATTTATTGATCTCATTCCTTCTCTATCCCTATAAGCAATCATTAAAAAAAGGTACATTCTTTCATGTTTTTAATATAAGCACATGCATTTGTATCCCACTCTTTCTTACCTAAATGGTAACATACTAAACACTTTTTCTTCACCTTCTTATCACTTAACCAAAGGATCCTGTATATCATTCCACCACAATATACAGAAGGATTTCTCATTTTTACAATGGCATGGTATTCCACCATGGATAAGCCATAATTTTTCAACCAAGCCTCTATATCTGCATTGTTTCTAGTCTTCTGATACTATAATCAGTGCTGTAACAAACACCTGTATGTATTTTCAAATTTTTGTCAGAATATCTCTGGGACAGATTTCTATAAATGAGATTGTTGGGTTAAAGGGAAAATACATACATATGTGATTTTGCTAGATACTGCCAAATTCCGTCTTATAAGTACAAACATATACTGTATTTTCAAATCTAAGCAACTGAGTTCTTAAATTCACCGAAAAGTATTAGTAGTTCATGAAATGGTGTACAAAGAAAAGGAAACAAACTAATTAGGTTTGTTTTTTATTATAGACCAATGTTCCTTAAACCTAATTATACTGTAAAACATTTAAATGTGTTTTAGGCTTCGAGGAAAGTACGATACACATCAAAATGTATCACAGCCTTCCTAGGAAATTTTGCTCTTCAACCGTATTTAAGCTGCTAAAGGACATTAGATAAACATAATTATTTTATCCGAG